AACACAGCCGCGCGAAATTTTGAGTCGTTAATTAAAAAGAATCATGGAGTAATCACAGCTCATGTGCCATGTAACACGCGATCAGTCTTTTTTAATGAATAACTTTTTTAATGAATTGTATGTGATTATTTGCAAAATGGTACAGGACTTTTGTGTTTCAGTTTAGTCTAATCTAAACTGCATTACGGCGAATTCATAACGAATTATCGCAGACACTCTGCATAATCTACACTTATATTCATTTAAACATTTATATTCGAAGAAAAAGTGACCGAGTATATCGATTTACTGGTTTACTGACTGGCTGGCTCGTAGCTCTTAAAGTATACGCTTTAGGTAACTTTTTCTCTATGTAAAGGATGCCTCGATTAATCGTCTCGTTTGCGGCGCATGAACTCCATTCGCGGAATAACGAGACTGTCGCGATTTATCATTCCACGACTACATTGATCTCTCTTGACTAGTCGTTGCATCGGCAACGAGAGAGGAGAAAGCTTGAATGCGTTAAGCATTCTTCGGTCTTTAATTGCTTCGATTTTCTTTTCTTCCTAACTTTCTATTTATTTCTCTGTGCTTTGGAGTGCAGTTTACGTTTGACTTGATAAACAATTTGTCACATACAAAAGAATCCTTAATTATACTTGCGCTTTCACTCTATTTCGACGATTTTGTTCTAATTATTTAATTATTTGTATTATAGTGTTTAATTCTATAACTTTCTTTCACTGTAAACTAAAGAAACGCTTCAAAATGAGACACTTCAGAAAAAGCTAAACTTTTTTTATAAAAAGTTCTTTACTAGAACCTTTAGAATGATGTGGAAGTGAAAGAAAAGTTATAAAAAAACTATGACGCAAGTAATTAAATAATTGGGGCAAAATCGTTACTAAATATATTACTATAAAAAGTGATCTATTTTGACATTCTTAGGCGAATTTTGATCACTTTCCTATGAGTTTAGACGGATAAAAGTGCTATTGTCGTATTTAGCAACTCAAAAATCATAATTACATACAGTGAGTCGCGAAAGATTAGATACAATGAACTTCAGAGCGTAACCGATGGTTCAATAAGAGGACTTATTTTTGACTAATTCGTTCTCTAATTGAACTATTGACTACACTTTGAATTTCATGGTGTCTAAACCGTTTCAAGACCTACTGTACAACGGGCTGCAAAATGGTTTAGACTAAATGAAGTTGGCAACTCACCAGACTCTCAAAATTGAGGTTAATGAACCTAACTGAAATGAACATGAAACTAATGAGTTTTTGCAGTAATTATATTATTAATTGTTATTATTATACTACCAGTACTATTATTATTACTCAGTGATCTTGTTTATATTATTAATTACGTTATTATTGCGTAAGTCAGTCGGTAATAATACTAAATTTTGACACTAAATTTTTATAGTTTAGTGAGTTTTTAATCTTGTTATATTTTATTAACACCGTTTCGCAACCCATATGTAACATCTTATATTTTTTAGACCAAAATGGGCCCATTTCACCTATCGTTCTTTGCGTGACGCGTAGCGCAGTGTCACAGCGGTGCAGCACGCGTCGGCAAAGCGCGGTATCGGGAAAACGTTGCGTGCCCGGAATCTCGTCGCGAACGTCAAAGGTCGTGTATCGCTGTTTGTCACGCTGCTCGGGACATGAATGTCCGTACGTCCGAATAACATCCGTCGAATAAAGGCAATAAAGATCGCGGAGAAGTCCCGACCGCGGCCTCTCTCAAAATTAATTGGAACGTCCAGAAGCCAAAAGTCTCAACCGGAAAGTAGTATCGAATCTGTCTATGTCCGGGTACGTCCACAGTTGGAGCCTTACCAAGCACTCGGTTGACTTCAGTTACACTTTATATTGGCGTAGTCAATGTCGACTATCCGGGCAAGCATCCGAATACTCTGGATCTTTCGGGCTTTTCGGGATACTCTGTTATACTTGTATCTTTCGGTTATTACATGAATATATTAACTTGAGGACTCACTCGGACCGAGAGAAGGCAACTCTGTTTCGCGTCCATACACCTTTCACGTATGAACAACTTGCGGCTAAATTAATGTGGGATCGTGTTAATAAGACAGTAATGTAGAGGTAATAACGAAATGTAACAAGTTTATTCTCTGACAATAACTCTGACAATAACTCTGACAGTAACTCTGACAATAACTCTGACAGTGTGCTCTCCAAAGGACACAGTCTTTCTCTGCTCTATAACTCTGACAGTGTGCTCTCCAAAGGACACAGTCTTTCTCTGCTCTATAACTCTGACAGTGTGCTCTCCAAAGGACACAGTCTTTCTCTGCTCTATAACTCTGACAGTGTGCTCTCCAAAGGACACAGTCTTTCTCTGCTCTATAACTCTGACAGTGTGCTCTCCAAAGGACACAGTCTTTCTCTGCTCTATAACTCTGACAGTGTGCTCTCCAAAGGACACAGTCTTTCTCTGCTCTATAACTCTGACAGTGTGCTCTCCAAAGGACACAGTCTTTCTCTGCTCTATAACTCTGACAGTGTGCTCTCCAAAGGACACAGTCTTTCTCTGCTCTATAACTCTGACAGTGTGCTCTCCAAAGGACACAGTCTTTCTCTGCTCTATAACTCTGACAGTGTGCTCTCCAAAGGACACAGTCTTTCTCTGCTCTGCTCTCTTGCCGCTGCCGTCTTATATACCTCTCACACGCATACTCGCACTCATACAATAAGTTTTTTCTATTCTACGCACTCTACAAAACAATAGGAACTACGCTCCTAAAATCGCCGCCATCAAACAGCGCCGAACGTCGCTAATCTCTTTGGAGACGCCGCCGTTTTCACCGCGCGAAGCCGCCGCTTCTATCAAACGACGCCGAACTCTTACAGCGCAGAACGTTACACATCTCTCTCTCTCTCTCTCTCTCTCTCTCTCTCTCTCTCTCTCTCTCTCTACCTAGAGCTTGCCTAACTTCGGTATCCTACATTAATTTAATGAATACATTTTGATACTTTCAGATCATTGATTTCTTGACAATAACAAGAGTAACGAACGAACTCATTGTATATTCGTGGTCCTTTGCCAACTACTTGATCAGGTAATATCCGCGAGTAACCGGTACGGTTTCTAAGTATTCGGATAAATGGCTATCCGGATATCCGAAATCGGATTCGATTCGAACCCTCAAAACCGGTTATCCACGGATAACCTGAATTTGAAGCGTCATATTTGTCCGCTATCCGAATAAATCGGGGTATCCATGGATAGTGTCAGATCCGAACAAATATTGAAGCTCTAATAGACGAGTTATATAGAAATACTCGAGTTATATTGACAGCACTACTTTATAGCACGTTCCAAATGTTACGCGGATCGATCGATTGTTGAGTTACGTTTAATTAATCCCCGCGAACTAGCGCGCGCCAAACAGGAGCAACTGCTCGACAATAATCCGCGCTTGCGGAAATTGCACCGTTTCGCCGTTCGCGCCCCGTTACCGCGGGGCGCGGTCGAGTTCGTTAACATTTTGCGAGATCAGGCGGCCACGTGCTGCGTCGCGTTTCCGCGACGCTACACGCGTATGTATAAATCGCTACGCACATCTGGCACGACGTCGCGCGCTGCTCGTCGTCGTAACGTTGCGCACCGGTGTTGCATTAACGCGCCCATAAAACCGCGTCGAATTTCGCGTATCCTCCGCGGCGCCGGCCGCATCGATTTCCTTCCACCCCGTATTATCGTCTGAACGGGGAAACGAGCAGCGAACAGCTCTCCGCGCCGCAACGCTCAGCTCCGGGCGGAGCGAACGTGTCACGAAAATGTGGGGCAGGACGTTAAATGGCCCATTCGCCGGGTAGCAGGATACGGGTGTGCACACGTACCTGGGATCCTGCACGAGGACGAATCGATGTGCGCATTGTGCGAAGATGAGTGTCACCGGATTGTGACGACCTCCCTCGATCGCGGCTAATTGCTCTCTGCTCGTACCGCGCGCGGAAATTAACGCTTCGATGTCTGTTCAACAAGTGACGTACGTTGTTGGAGTAAGTGCTAATAACCTGGAACAGTAATTTGTAAAGAAAATGAGAGAGGGATAGATAGAGATGTGGAAGAAAGAGAGAGAGATATTGTTTTGTATGATTTTTCTTTTTTACATTTCATACGAAAGATTGTTTTACCCATTTTGTCAAAATCTTCATTTTTTTTACAAAAATAAGAGACAACAATAATTCGAGAACAATACAACGTGCATAAGAAAAAAAATACGACGTTATTTCGCCAAGTACGAGAAATTCCTATTTTATCTCTTTTGTCAAAGAGTTTTCAACATTTATTGTAAAATCACCTAAACTTTGTTCGAAAAGTGCGCATCAAAGTTTGTTAACTCAATTCGTGTAATTGAGCTTTCTCTCTTGATCGGAATTGAATGGGTGCCGTGTTTAAATCTACCTAACTTCGCGGCTGACGTTTTTGCTTGTGACTCTCGTTCTAATGGTTGCCTTTCGGCTAATGCCCGCAGGTTTTGCGCGGTAACTCTTATACACACACACATACCCGCCTGCAGCAACCATCGCTTCTTGCGCCTTCCTCTGTGTTACTTGCGTATTATATTAGACGTAATTATTTTATTGAGTTTCAAGTTTGAATGCAACGCCGCACCATAACCTCATAGTTAATGTTTTAATCGCCGTGCTCCATTCGCCGGACTGACTCCTGCGAAATATACATTATCGCGTATCAATATTACGCAAAATTACGATGGTAAAATTTTTTTCAACGTAGTGGACATTATATAAGAAGTTGATCGATATAAAGAGCAACGATATAAAGGGAAACGATAAATTCGAATCGGTTTTGAAATATCACCGGAAATCGCCGCGTTTTCGAAACATTTGAATAAATAATAAAAATTTATTTTTATATCTTGTTTTTTCTTTTTTTTTTCTTTTACTTTCTCTATAACACGTGCCCGTACTCATACACATATTCTCTTTAATATCAAATATTCACCTATCATTAGAAACCGCGGTCTAGAAATAAGCAACTCGTGTATTACGACCGAAGACGAAAATGTGTACACTACTAAATTTCGGATCTTACTTCTCCGAAGCATTCACTAAATTTACGCGTGGAGGAAATTCATGTATTTAGAAAGAGTCAAGCACAACACGAAGGACCGTTCGCGAGCCCGAGTAAAACAAGCAAAACGTGTAGGAAAAGCAGCACGTGGGAAGTATGAAAACAAAACTAAGGGTGACCGTTGAGAGTCAAAGCGTCCATCTCGGCTGAGCGTCACTGAGGCGCGCCATTTCCCCCACCCTTCACCTGCGCCTCGCTGCCTCGCGTCGCGCGTCTCTCTGGCAGTCAGCGGTGGGCGCTCGTGGTGTACGTATCGTAATACGCGCGGGGTAGTGTTTCTCGCCCCTTCTCCCCTTCTCTGTCTCTTCTCTTTCTCTCTCTCTCTCTCTGTCTCTCTCTTTCTATCTCTACCCGCTTCTACGTCATTCGTATCGTTCGAACGGCAACAGTGATTTTCCGCGCGACGTTCGTACGGCGTCGCGACGCGACGCGACGCGCCGCGTCGGGCACGTGCCGACGTCGAAGCTCGACGTTGGGAAGAACGATCCGAATCCCAAGCACGTCTCCTCGGTTGCGCGCTCCATTCTCGCTCGGTGCGTTTGTTTTGACATGTGTGTGAGCTGCCATATTGGATTACCGCATCGTCGCTGCTGTTGCTGCTCCTACTACTCCTGCCGCCGCTGCCGTAGTTGTCGCCGTCGTCGCTGCGGGATCATCGGGCACCGAGTGGGACTTTACTATTGAGAGAGGTGAGACAATGCCGATGAGATACTCTCGCGCGCGGTTGTGCCCTTTCGCCGAGGACGCGAAAGGCGTCGTCCTCGTCGTACGTGCACGCGCACGAAAGTGTACGGCGTTTTCGGGCTCGCTCAATAACGAGCATCGTCGCCGTTGTCGTCGTCGCGCGAACCGCGCCAGACGTGCACTCGCGCGCGCCGCGCGCGCGTTTAACGTTGAAAATGCGACACGATCCGGATTTTAACCAACGCACGAACGCGCAGTGTTGTCGCTGTCAATACGTCGGGGCGAGTTATACGTTTAAATTATGGATTAGCCGGTTAGCCGCCTCGCTCGAATCGCACGAATACGTCACGATTGCAGACGCGCCAAGTAAAATTGAGCTGAAACTCTCGTCTGCGATCGCGCGATGCGCGAAATGGCGCTGTGCTACTCGCCGCCAGTTCGCGTTTCGTACATTCCCTAGTCGAAATTTAGTGACTGCTGCTGTCATTTTCGCGCGAGCTCTCATTTATGTTGCCAATAATGCCCCGATAATATTTGAACTGCGCGTCTCATCTGCCTTCTTTTCATTTGTGTTTAACCTTGTTATTGGGCTGATTAAATTTAAATCCCTATTGATGTTACATAGTTACTATCTTTGTCTATTGATGTTACATAGTTACTATCTTTGTCTTTTGTCTTTATCTCTTCTTCAATCGCCAAATTCTATCGAAATTTTCAATGCCATTGAAACATAATAATTTGAAAGACTTGTGTAAAATAAAGTTTATCATATTATTGTATCTATTATATATGCATGTATGTATATATATATATATATATATATATATATATATATATATATATATATATATATCTAATAATTTTTAAGTCTCAATGCGAAGGATACAAGTAACTATTTATAGTATCAAGACAACAGCCAGTGTAATGTTGCAATATATATAATCTCTAGATTTTCCATTGGTTCAAGTTCGAAGGAATTTGCAGAGTTAATGTTTAGAATCAAAATTTCCACTCGGATTTTCTCTGCCACTTTCGATCTCGAATATTTGAACTGTATTGAATGCAATTATATTTTATAAAAACGTGCCTCGAGATATATTTAGGCGTTATATATATTTAACTGCGTTAATGCAGTTTATATACTTGCAATTTGCGTTAACATCGAATGCTCGTCTCGGATGAGATTTTTGAGAAAGATACTACTTTAATTCTAAAAATCTCTCTGAAGTAGACGCATTAGAATACGTGTATGTTTGTTTATATTTTTTGCAATACTTAAGCAATATTTATAATGTTTTATCACTGGGAACGACGTTTTTTCAATGAGTTAGATTCTAGTTCTCAGTCTCTTTCTACCTTTTTGTAACGCTATTTCTTAGAACAGAATTCATAGCGTCCGAAATTTCGAAAGACGTGTTTGGAGTTTTGATCGTCGAATTCGAACGTGCTCCACTCCAGGCGATTTAAACACAGAAGCGCACTGTCAGTGATTGCACGACGGTATTTTCCTCACAGACAGACGCTGAGCAAGTTTGCCCGCGACGTTTCAGACGTTATACACATATACGCTTTACGCTCGCTTATCGTTTACGACCCTTTGCCTCAGTATGAACGCAATATCGTACGCGCTCCGATACGGATCTTGAAATGAATGCCGGCCCCCACGCGTCCCTTTAACCGCCTGTATTTACAAGAGAGCACAATATACCACATTGTAACGAGGACGACATGATGTCAAGTGAAATTCGTACTCTCCGGTCCAGTTTTAACGCAAATATTACGGCTGAGGATTTAATAAATTCGTGGACGCGATAAATAAAAAGGACGCATTTGTCACAATTTTGCATATTACAAACATGCATATCGATAATGTTCTATTGTTTTTACACGCAATAAAAATGGTTGTTTGACTCATTTGGAGAACGGGGGCACAGTGCGTTATTATTCCAAAAATCTTATAGTATTCCACTTGATGTTCACTCGACGAGATCTCATCGATTTGCGCGCATTCCGATATAAAGAGACCGATAAGAATTTAATCTTGATGATTCAGAGTATCGTGATTGACGATGCGATACCGCGACGCGTAGAAATTTAGTGGCCAGGAAATGTGCTGCTATTTTCGATGATTACGAGCCGCGTGAGCGAAAAGTGAATGTTTCTTCGCGCCGGTACCGGCTGGTTTCTTGCCGGTGGATCGGTTCCGAGCGGCCGGCACACACTCCGTCGTAATCCGCGTGGTCTCGTGTTACATAACGCAATTACGCGTCGGTGATCTGCGAGGTAATGACGGTGAATCACACACAAACACACCTTTCTCCCGTTCACGAGCCGCAACGTCGCGACGCGCCGTAGCCGCTTTTAATAACGCTTGACGCGTAGGAGAGCCGGGTGATATCATTCGCGAAGGTGCTCGCGGGAACAACTATGCCCTGCTATGTGTCATTCATCAGCATCTACGTGGAACATCGCGCCGACGATAAATCCAACATCCGCATATCGCGCCTGTCGATCGCTGTCATTGACCCATCCATTCGCAGCTGGACGTCGTTTTTGCGAACGAACGATTCGGCCGCAAAATCGCGTTGTCGCGCAACTGTTTGTAGAAATCAAATTTCTATCTATTTCACGTGTGTAATAGAGCCAAGACTGTGTATTGAAACGCGTTGAGTTGAAGAAAGCTCGAAGGGCCTGCATGGAGAAAAATAATTTGCTGGCCCAGCAAATTTTCTACTGGTCTAGCAAAATCTTTTCGTTATTATATGAATAGCAAAAAGATTTCCTAAGAGTACTCATCACTATTTGCTGGATGTAATTTGCTGAATCTACAAATTATTTTGCTGTAAGAACTTTGATGGATTTATATAAGCAGTTGCAGTTTTGCTCCGATAACAAATAAATTTGCTAAGGATACATTATTTTGCATCAATAATAAATTAACGTGATTCTTACAAATATACTCAACAAATTTTTTCTATCCTGGCAACGAAACTACTTCTGCTCTGATAACGAATAATTTGTAAAATTAGTTACGTCAACTATATCTTTTTGATGTCATTACGAATATGCAGTAGCAACGACGATTTTGCTAAAAGAGCAAAATTATTCTTCTCCGTGTGCCTGAAATTTTTCACGGTGAACGCTTCACGTTCTCTCCTGGCGGTCCCGATAAGATCTCTCTCAGAAATTAAGTAATTATTAAATGATAAATTTTTTGCCTAATTTCCCAGGTCTTAGCTATGTTTCAAAGAACTTGTATGAATAACAAATAGATACAAAACACAAGATTCAATAACAAATAGGCACAAGATACAACTCGTTCCACTGCAAATCTAAGTGCGTTATTTTTAAACGTATAAATGTAATTTGGCTGAAACTTTTTTTATATGTTTCTTATTGTTTTAAGGCATGTCATTTGACACGTGTTTGAGACGTGTAAATTATAATTTAATACGTTTTAAATGGCGTATAAACGTATTAAATGGCGCGACTTGAAACGGTAGGAAACATGTAGGAAGAGATATAGCCGAAATAATACTCTTGGATTTGCAGTGATTGCCTCAACGACGCCTGAAACGACGTATGAAAGAATCAAGTGAAATACACACAACTGACTTAAGTAAAATTTTCGCAGTATTGTCGTTTGCTCGAATTGCCGTGAGAGGTGAGCAGCGTGTCTCACAGCCCGAGCACTGTTTGCCGGTTTCCTCACGTGCCCTCGACCATTTGGTCTCCGCTTTAACGATACAGATTGTGCCGTGCGGAGAAAGGACGTCGTTGCTCCGAATGCAACGCGACGAACGTGCAAACGGGAACGTAGGGACGGTTTTTCTCCGCCGTAGCTGTCTCACGTCGGTTCGCGCACGCCGGTAATTTTTTTTCTTTTTTCGCTGGTCGCGGTCTTCTCGCAACGGAGAGAAATGAAGGAGAACGTAAGCGATCCACGGTCGTAAGGTTACGGTCGTGGCTTAAAATTAGATTCGGTGCGCGCTCGCGATTCATTTGCGACGACTCGTATTCATCTTCCTCCGGGTCACTCCGTTTCGCCGCGGGAACAAAGGAAAGCAACGAGCCTGAAAGCAGAACAGAGAAGGCGAGAGGAACGTCGGAGGGCAGAGAGAGAGAGAGAGAAAGAACGAGAGGAAGTACGGTGCGAGTGTGGGTACACGTGTGCATGTACACGTTCGTTCGTTCGTTCGTTCGTTCAGTGCGTGATGGGAAAGAGCGCGGAAGGGAAGGGCCTGGAGAGACGCAGATGTACGCGGAGTTTGCGCTCGGATTTAAATACACGCACACGTAATCTCCGTGATCCCGTAATCAAACCATCATAAAAGGTTTCGGCGTTCACACGTTCCTCGCCTCCGCGAAAAGGCTGCTGAGTCGCCACAAAGAGAAAGACTGAGAAAGAAATATCTTTCGCTGCGAGAAAGCGAAATATCACGGTACAGGTTAGCGTGAAACGTTTTTCGATTCACCACAGATTTACGATTCATCGAACAATCAGATTGTCTCACTCATCCTGTCGCGTCATACGGCGGAAGTATCATTATTTTAGTAGAAAATAACTTAGTAAAGTAATGAAAATAATTAATAATAATCTATCCAGTTGAGCGACAACAAGAACGTGTGGGATGAATGCGTATGTAACACCTTTGCACGGATTTTACGAGAATTTACGAGTAAAAGAACGGGGCACCACTTACTAGACAAATAAAAATGACGTAGTCATATTTATCACACAACTGGATTTTTTCCTACAATCGCCGAAACTTAAGAAATAAAAGAATATTTATTTAGTGGGTACTAATGATACATATTTATTTACACTAACTATAAAGTATTTTTCAAGAAAATATACATTTTCTTAAAACCCTAACTTTTTAAACAATTGTTTAATTCTATTGTTTAATTCTACTTAAATAAAATAATTAAGAATAATTGAAATGAAAATATGTTATTTTTGTTTAATTCCCACCGAATAAACATTTCTTAGATAGTGTATATG